ACTTTTTTAATAATCACATGTTTAAGGTACCTACCTATTTGATAAACAGCCTGGTAATTAGTAAATAATTGGGAGGGAGGGAGAGAGTCATGGTTATACCTATTCCTTTATCCAATGAAAATTAGTAACAATTTAAATTGTAGGTATAAATTATTTTACTAAATTATTTATGTTTTCCGAAAAAACATAATCGGCTTACATTTCACACCAATAGTACCTCTCACATTTATTTATTACACAAAAGATAATCGAGAGTGCACTTCATTTTTTATTTTACTGAAATTCTGAAATATTACTTATGGACTTTTTGAAAGAAACAACATTATTCATTCCATGTTCTGTCTTTATATAACTAACACTCGAGATTATTTATTAAAATTTATGTTTTTGTTTAACGAAAGGGAAAATTATAAATTATTTTTTAGTTCGTACATTTATTAGAAAATAAACCAATCAAAACACTATAGTGTTGTTGGGCAAGATATTACTGTTTTGGATAGTTAATATGCCCAATTTGATACTTGTAAAAATAAATTTTCAAATAAAACTGCTTTAATGAATTTAAAAAAATATGTTATATGTTTTTATGGAATTAATATTACAGAAAGAGTATATAAAACAATTATGTTATTTAAAGAAGTGACCAATCTCAATTTTTCAATTTTTCAAGTAAAACTAAAAAATTTACTTAAATTCTACATAAATTAAATTAAATCATTATAATTAATATATCTTTAAATTAAAAATTGGAATTTTCTATTGTGTCAATAAACATTAAAAAAATAAATAAAAGTATTTTGTGTTTAAAAAAATTCAAATTTATTTATTGTTCTTCATACAAGGGTTTTTTATTCTATTATAAATTAGTATAAATTTTTATTTAATTTACCCGAGAGAAAAATCTTGGTATTGATAATCTAAATGTTTTTATTAATCATCAAACAATTTGTAATCCACCATCAACAATATTATTGGGTTTGACTATTAGTAATATGATTTTTGTTCTTGCTCCATCAATTTCAATTATCATTGCCCTTTCAACGTTAGCCACCATTCGATCATCATCTACTTTAGCAAGAGTACATAAACGTAAACAATCCTCTATTGCTAATTTTCTACCAAGAAAAATGACACTAGATGAAAAGAAATGCTTGGATAATGCATTACTGAATATGATTGTGACTGATTTTCAATCATTTTAAATTGTAGAGGATAATGGTTTTTGACAATTTGTTTACTTATAAATTCAAATTACGTTTTACCAAATAGACAAGCAATCTCGAAAACACTGATTCTATTAGAATATCAAATATTTATATCTAGGATGAAAGATTCAATTAATAAGGAGTAGAAAAGCAGATAGTCTATACTTAACCTTTACGCGGGACAACTTTTCTCGCACCATATTTACAGTAGAGATCCCAAAATTTCTGAACATATAGTGTAAAAAATTATCTGTTCATCAACGTGCTTATAATTTAGATAACACAAATAGAAACAAAGTTATTTTCTTAAAATATTTTATGTTTTTGCTTTTTTCATTTACTTATAAAAATGGTTGGACAGTGTTATCAAAAATTAGAGCACGATGTTGCACAGATAAAGTTATTCTTTATGTGTTGTGAAAATTTAGTAGCTCTACAGCAAATAAGGTGCGAGAAAATTTGTTCCGTGCAAAACATTTTTTTTAATCAAATTACAAGTGGTGTGGCGTCCTCTTAACTGAAATTATAAACATTTTAAATTTAAAATTATAAGTATACATTTGTAAATGTTTAATTAAATAAATAATTATTAATCTCTTGTAAAATTTCTCGAATGAAAATGATATGTAATACGCTTTTTAAATATTATATGACTCAGCTGAATAAGGTTTCAATGGAATTTATAATATGCTATGAATAATCCTTAAATGTCTTGATTATCCAAATTGTTTGCAGATGTACCTACAAATTTATTTATTAATGCCAGGCCTGATTCATATACTTTGGTTTTTGGAGTTCAAAGAAACACTCAAATTATTAAGGACAATCTAGGATTTATGTACTATAAAAATAAAAAAACCCAGTTTAAAATATAAGTTAGAGATATGAAAAGTGTTCATATACAACATGTGTAACAAAATGTATTTATTATAATCAAAATAAACAGTCTTTACTTAATGAGATGGGAAATTGATAATTATTGATAAATTATGGTTCAGTAAAAAAAAAAAAAAAAAATAAGTTTTTTGTTGATCTATTGTAAAACTATATTTCATATTAGTAGAATCCTATTATACTCAGGTTCTTAAACGAAAAAAAAAAAAAAAAACAAAAATAATAAATGTTACAAGAAACATACATTATCTTAATCTAGTATATTTATATAACTTACTGCTTAGATATTTGGTATTTTATGAAAAAAACTTCTAAACCAATGTCATGCAACAGCATTCATCAGCACTAATAGTGATGACAAGCATTTGGTATTAACAAAGTGTCATAATCATGGTACAAGGGCTTTCAACGAAGAAATTCCATTTGACAAGATTTAACAGAAAGATGTTTTGAGAGAAGTATGCAGTCATACACTCCATGTGGAATCAACCTAAAATCAATTGTAAAGTAAGACTGGCATTGATGAAATAATTTATAATAATAATTATTAAAACAAAAATGAAGGAAGATGAAGTGAGCTAAATTGTTGTGTAGTAGCATCTTTAAAATTGTATGTTATAGATATGTATGATACAGTGGCGTAGCGTGTGCGTAGCGTAGCCCCCACGATTTTATTAAATAGTATTTCAATGCATATACTAAATTGAAACCCACGCTACGCCACTGGTATGATATATTTAATATGTAAGAGTAAATATAATATGTATGATATATTAATATGTTGAAGTTATATGATAACATCTTTAACAGCGTATGTTTTTATGTTCAGTTGATATAATGTGAAGTATATATAAAGTTTCTTAAATAATATTCTTCAATATGAGGTAATAAAAAAATTAATTAACCACTATCAATTAATTTAAAACTAATTAAAATATATTTATAATTTAAAAGTAAGTAATACAGACCCACTCATTTACAGCTCAATTACTTTTCTTAGAGAATCAATGTAATATTGAATTTAGGCAAGCGATGCCAAATCTAAAAGTAAGAAACTAATAATTTTATTTATCAATTAATTATCTGAAATAAAAATATGGTTTACATATCGTCGCTTAAGAAGTAACACCGCCTATCTCAGTTTTATCAATTTTACAGGAGAACAAAAAAAACCAAATTCTGTGTAATTTTAATCTTAAAATTTTAGATATGTTGTGTTATCATTTTATCGATTAGTTTGTTATCTATTGACTTTATTCTAAATCTGATATCTCCAATGAATTCCGCGCAAAATTGCTAACACAATTTACTCAAAAAGTGAGATAGGCGGTGTTACTTCTTAAGCGACGATACATAGGCGTGTGCAGACTCTAAAAGCCGGTAGTGCCCATATATTATCATCGGCCCTTTAGTTAACCATTTTATAAATACAACATATCTAAATTATATATACCTATTTAATATCAACACACATCCTATATTATCTTACATAGTTTATAATATAATAATAGTAATAATAATAATAATTATTATAAATTATAATACAATATAGTTTAAAGTTTTTTTTTTCAATACTTTATATCATACAGGTACAAGTTAATTAAAATAAAGGATAACGAATATAATAATTATGAATGACATAGATAGAAGTTATTTAAGTATTTTATGTACTTAGAGAGACATTTGTCTATTACCCATACTATTGAACTCATCTATTACTGCATTTAAATCTACCTTTGATACCATTTCTTGTTCCGTAAAAAGTAGTAATAATGACTCCAAACGTTCTTGGCCCATTGTACTGCGTAATTTGTTTTTTACAACAGTTAATTTTGAAAAAACGCGTTCATATGTACAGCTGGTTACAGGTATGATTGTAAATATTTTTAAAGTTTTAAAAACACAAGTATATACAGTGGAATTTCCAGAAGTTTTCAACCAATCAATCCATTCATAAACATATTCAATAGTAGCACCATTTAGTTGCATGCATTTTGATAATTTTTCATAAGTTTCAGTTCAGTAATTAAATCTTGCGTCAATCCACAGTACGTGTACCCGAGTAAATAAAAATAACATATTAATATGATATACACCACTAAACGGGTAGATTACTCGCTGATTGAGATGCATGAGTTCAGAATTGTATGTCATTATAAATGGAAAACCCTACGTAAGCTCTTATATTTATTTTTTAAATTTATTGAAATATTAACATGTATACCATATTAACTCATATTTAATAATTCCGATTACAAGATATCTTTATATATCTTATATATCTTTACTATATTATATTAGTTTATTACATATACATTTATGATCAAACTATAACCATATGCTTAACAACCGCAACATCTATAAATAACTTATAAGCCGCGTTATCGCGACCAGACTAAACCGATTCTCCGAACCGTCGGAAATCGGTTTGAAACGATCACAAAGGGTTGCGGTTTCGCCGATAAAACGCTAGTCTTATCCGGACCTAAGAATATTTATGCCAAAATGTTTAGCCAAAATATGTCTATATACAATAATATATACAAACTTTCATCTACAGAGTGTACATAGTGAATTTTAAAATTTTTTTCAAATTCTCTTTAAAATTGAATTTTGTAATTTAGGTAGATCAGAGGCATAGGGCGCTTCGACCCATGAAAAATCACAGGGCGTGCCTGGGCACGCCCTGTGCGCACGCCAATGCGACGATATATTATTAAATATTTTAACAGATTCGTAATATTGTACCAACCAGAGTACGGTACACAACATAGAATCAATTAGAAGGTTTCTAAACGAACTCAGTCAAAATTTAAATCCTAATAGAATAATAACTTTTTTAAGGAGAGATGGCCATAAAATAGATGGTTATATTGCCCAAGGTCCACATTAAGTATAATAATTGTGTTACAAAATATGTCAGATAATAATAAACATTGCACACTATTATAGATAAAATGTAATTAAACAAAATACAAGTCATTGTGAGTCAAGACTTAACCTAACCGGGAAAAATAATTTGAACCGCAATATTTTTTCACACTCAAATATCAACTGAAATTTAGTAATAATCGTGTAAAAAGATTGTTAGCTAATTATGCTAATCAGCACGACGACGATAACCATCGTCCTTATCTGCTTTCTCATTCCTCGTCTAAAACCATCGTGTGTATGTACATTTTAATATCTATCTATAAACCTTTATTTATAAATTGTGTTATCTTTTCCTTTTACTATCTTTTGAGACGAAGGTGCGTGTTGGGCAGCCGTCCGTTCGCAAGGTGGTGCGGTGTTGAGGTGACGCACACAAGAGTAAATTATGATAAATAAATATACAAGTATGTATATGTTATAAATATATATATATATATTTAAATGCCGTTAAACCAAAACAATTAGTGTCACGTTAGTGTTCGTAAATGTTTACAAGAACCAAAAGAAAGTCAAAATAAAAAATAACAGAACGGCACCAGACTCTACCTAACTCGCTTACGGTCGTTGGCAGAGAGCGAGTTCATCCGCGGTGCGGATCCACCGTGGTTGCCGGCGGCTTCCCTGCTCCACCTCAGCACCTATCAAGGTGGTAGGTGGGAGGTTGTCGTCGGCACTGTCGCGGCCTTTGGCGTGGCTGGACAAGAGAGTGCACGCGATACGTAATGGTCGGAGTACTATTGTACTCATGACCACTACGGACCGTGTCACTTTGTTTTACCATACGTTGCCTAAATTATAATTACTATGTTTTCTTTTGTATTGTCAACAAACCGCCAACGCCCTTATTATTATTATTATTGTTTTTAATTATATACACATTACTATTACGAATTTTTTTTCGGTCTCTATTGTAGCACCTGAGAATTTCTTTTTTTTTTCATATAATTCACCACTGCGGTTTATAACAAATTTATTATTTTCGTATACCACCGTGGCAACAAATTAAATTATTTAAATTGTTTATAGTTTTTTATATATATTAGCCATTGTGGCATAATTTGTATACTAATTACCCGTAAGTCGCTAGTGAAGCGGCCCTTATATTATTATCAAATTTTATTATTGAAATTGTACCAAACCATTCATAAGTTACCAGCAATAAACATATACTATACCAAATTAACGTCTCGTGAGTTTTATATTTATTATAATTATTCTTGATCGTCGTGTGGTATACTGTGTGCCTGCAATCTGTCTTCTGTCAATCCGCGTAATTCCACCAGCACCTGGAGGTGTGTGAGAGGCCGCCAAGGACATCTAGTCACCTCAAGTTACCATCGTCGTCTACCATAGTTATAAATTGTGAATTGAATGTTTAGTTATTAGTAATCTAGTCCGATTTGTGTGCCCTCTGTGGTAATTGCACCAAATAGACCTGACCACAGATATTCCCACCCCTGAATAACTAAACTCTAATTCCTGTCGTCCCGTGTATAAACTTATATTTCTAGTTCCCCGTATAATTAGGCCTCTAGTAATTTCCTATCCTATCGTCGTCATCGTCGTCGAGTTACGTGCTGTCTATTCCGTCAATATCAGGCAATGCACATTGGGTCACCTATACCCATGAATTTCAAGGCATCAAAAAATTGTATTATTATTAGCGTAACCGTCCAAGAGACAACAAAGATAATTAATGTATTATTTAATCATTAGTTAAATATTATAAAAAAATTAATTTACCAACTATTTTCTGTAAACCTCGGTTTTCAGTTCATATCCGGTTTCAAATCTTCTCCGGGTTTCAAAATCAGATTGTAATCCATTTTGACGCCCTGATACCTACAATAAACAGTAAATACCATAGACGTATAAAGATATCTTCAAACACAGATATAAAATACTTTATAATATTATATACTTATCTTTATATGTCTATGCTAAATACACAGGGATAAAATGTGAACCGTGGTATAGTTCAAATTAAATATAGTTATTATCGAAAAATATATTAATTATCATTCAAGTGCAACAATGTAACTTCTTAAACAAAAAAATAATTTTATAATATAATTTTTAGAAATTTTATGTTGGCAACACATTTTATACCACCGTCTTTCGATTCCAATCCTCATCATTTTTCAGACAACTGCCCCAACTCATATAATAAAATCTTTTATCAATTTATTCCTTGTGATAACATTTTCGGTTAGAGTTATGTCGACAAAATATCAGTGATATAATAAAATAAAAATCTTATTCATTGTGATAACCTTATTGGTTAGAGGGCGGGTCGCACGTAAAGTTGATAATCGTGAAAAAAAAATTATGGCGAGTTGTCAGCGGCGGCTGTGGTGTAGATGGCGGGTGTAAAGGGTGGCTGGTGGTCCAGAATACACCTTTTCTTACAACTGACAACTATAAAATCGTGGAAATATTTACTTTTTTTTCAGAAAATACTGTTTTGTAAGAATATGAAATCTTGATACCTAAAAGTTCAACTAATTAACCACATTTGTTACTTCTCAACTTTATAAAAAATTCAAATGCTTTTAATTCTATACCATTGTGGCAAAA